TTGTTGTTTTTGTACATTTTATTTTTTTAAAGCCCAAGCCTTTTTACTTACCTAAATATTCCAATAGCCTAATCTTTCTCATTTAAGCAGGGCAAGCTGAGGCAGGATTGCAAGTTCAAGATTAGTCTATGCAACTTAGATTGTCTCAAAAAATTTAAAGGGGTAGAGGTATAGCTCAGTGGTAGAGCAACCCCAGGATTGAAAAACAAAAAAGCAAAAGCTGTCATTTGTAGCCTTTTTGTCACCATAACCTGTCCTGCATATTGTTGCTGTATTTGTGCCCTCTTCTGGCATAAAAAATTCTAATGGCTTCTCCTAGAAAGTAATCCAAGATTTAGTTACAAATTTGTTTTACTTTATAAGAAAACCTTCCTCTTTAAGAAAATCTTATTGTGCCAATGAACAAGCTTTGTTCGTTCCAGCTTCTGTACCTAGTGATTCTCAAACTTAGCTGAGTATAATCTCCTTTAAAATTTAAAAATAATTTCTGAGTCTTAGTCCTTAACATTAGTTTTTTTAAAAGAAAACCAGTTTGGATACATATGTACAAACATATATATATATATAACATACATATATATACATATATATATATACACACACACATACATATATATATATATATATACACACACACATACATACATATACATATATAGTATACATACATGTGCACTTTGCAGATGATTCTAGAATTGCAAATAGAGGTTCCTTGTTTGTATTTAATCTTCTTGCCTTAAATCTCCTTCTTTCTCTTTGCTAATTTTTACATTTTCTTCAAGATCTGGACCAAATGCTTTCTCTGAGCTCTCTAGCCTACTTTTCACCTTTTTCTATTTCAACATTTCCTGGTGCTGATTTCTGTGTGACTCCTCTGGTGCTGGAATACAGGTTGCTAATATTATCTCTTTTTATGTTTCTCTTTCCAAGTTAGATGATGATGGCTTCTATTTCTGCCTTCCTCATAGAACCAAGAATGATATACTAAATTAATATCTGTTTATCATTTTGTTAGTTTGAATTCCTTAATGTATCTCTTGCTGTGTAACTCTTATAGAACTGCAGTAATAATTGTTTATATAGAGAATGAATACAATTATCTCTCTTGAATTAACAAACTAGTTTTTTAGTATGCCACACTCAGGTTTGAAATTCAATTTTTATAGAGTAACTCCATTCTATTTTTCCATATTTTCTTTAAAAGATTTAAAGGACAAAATTTGGAGAGCCTGTATACTTAGCTTGCGTTTGTAATTAAACAGGATTTAATCAAAGATCTCAAGTCAGAGTTGAGTGGAAATATGGAAGAACTTATCCTTGCCCTTTTCATGCCTCCTACATATTATGATGCCTGGAGTTTACGGAATGCAATGCAGGTACTATGCCATTTATTATAAGTATTATATGCTATTTAATATGTAAATCCTACAAATTTGGTGATTCTGAATATGCAAGGAAAGTTTAAAGCAATATATTATTTTACATCTGAAATATAGAGCTTATCAGATCTAAAGGACACAAATATTGATGGAATATTGATTTAATTACTTTAAAATATTTTTATAATTAAATATAATTATATATAATTCTGTCTTTCTTCATATAGGGAGCAGGAACTCAGGAACGTGTATTGATTGAGATTTTGTGCACCAGAACAAATCAAGAAATCCGAGAAATTGTCAGATGTTATCAGTCAGAATTTGGACGAGATCTTGAGAAGGACATTCGGTCAGATACATCAGGGCATTTTGAACGTTTACTTGTGTCCATGTGCCAGGCAAGTATAGCATGAACGTTTTTGTGTTAGTGGAGGGAACCTATTTTATGCTAGTGAGTATTCTTAATTCCTTCTAATATTTAGCCAACTTGGAATATTGCCATCTTTAAAAGGGACAGCATAGAACCCAGTGTACAGATTTCTTTTGTAGTTAGTTACTGCTGGGATTTATCTATAAATCTGGCTTTTGTAAGGCACCAGAAATTTTCCCCTTAAGCTGGTGTGGTGGTGCCCACCTGTAATCCCCTCACTCAAGAGGCAGAGAAAGGAGAATAACTGCAAGTTTGAGGCCAGTCTAGGCTATGTAGTGAGTTCAAGGCCACCCTGAGCTACATAGCTAGACCACATCTTAAAAGAAACAGAAGAAAAAGAAATTAACCTCTTTTTTTTTTTGGAGACAGGGTCTCAGTACTTAGTTGAGACTGACCTGGAACTCACTATGTAGCCCAGGCTGGTCTCGAACTCACAGCGATCCTCCTGCCTCAGCTTCCGAGTGCTGGGATTACAGGCGTGCTCCACCACACCCTCTTTAAGGTTTTATTAACCTCTTTAAGGTTTAATTAACCTCTTTAAGGTTTTATGTATTTCTTGAAGAAAGACCAGTCAAATCCAATTTGAGATTCTGTGGCTGAGATAGGGATGAACCTTTTTTAAACTCAAAACGAGCCATACCTTTTCTAGATCGTGAGCAGAGGAGTAGCTTCCTAGGAAAATGGGAATGTTGTGTGTTTGAACCCAAAGGCAATAGTCTGGGAACGTTATCTTAGCATCTTTGGGTTCAGTTGCCCATGTAGAATATACCTCTCCATATTCCTTGTGCCAGGTATTTTCAGAAGGCAGTTTTCCACCTTCAAGAACTCTTCACATTTTGTTCGTCAAAGGATCACTGAGACTCTAGAGGGCAGGCTTGCCCTTTTATTTTGAGACAGTGTCTTACTGTGTAGTTCAGGATGTCCTGGAACTCATGCAATCCTCCTGTTAGAGATATGCACCACCATGTCCAGTTGAGGTCATTTTTATTTGTGTTCGTAATAAGTAGGATATACGTTATGATTATATTTGGATGAAGGAAAGGAAGTTTGTGAAACCATATTATATTTTCCCTCCCTAGACTTAAATTTCTTGAAAGCAGGGACCTTGTCTTCCCTGTATCCCTGCTCCTAGCATAGTGCCTGGCACCAAGCAAGTGTTCAGTGTCTTTGGTTGTCCCAGGGATATAACTCAGTGGTAAAGCACTAGCCTGACTGTGTTGCAGGTCCTGGGTTCAAATCCCATTACCACAAAAATATATACATAAAATAAGCTGTGTTACCAATGTCTTTGGTTTCATCAGTGAATACAAGTGGAACTCATTGACGTTCTTATTAATCTTAAATTCCAGCCAATAGAGAGTAGAGAGTTATAATTTTGTCATTTAGGTAATAGTTTATATCTCTAAGTAGACTTTTTTTTTTTGTAAACAAAAAGAACTCAGGACCTTGTGCTTGTGAGGCAGGACTGGGCACCACTGAGCTAAATCCCTGGCTCTCTGAGTTGACATTTTTATATAAACCTTTTCTTTTATTTAATTCTCAAAGCCCTGAAAGTCTTCATTTTAATGTAACCTCATTAAACCATAGTCAAATATTATAAAGCCAAAATTGACAGTATAATATAGGACTAGCTACGCTGTTACCATTTCTTTGGAAAGGAAAGATACACCGGACAAATGTTATGCAATAATCTTTAATAAATTATTTCTTTAAAACCTCAAGTAACTAGATGGGGGTTGCTTAATAGAGCTTCTTCTTCTTCCAATTCCTACTTCCTCTTTTGCAGGGAAATCGTGATGAGAACCAGAGTGTGAACCACCAGATGGCTCAGGAAGATGCCCAGCGCCTCTTTCAGGCCGGTGAGGGGAGACTTGGGACCGATGAGTCTTGTTTTAACATGATCCTCGCCACAAGAAGCTTTCCTCAGCTGAAAGCTACCATAGAGGCTTATTCCAGGGTACGAGCTTCTCTTCTGAAGATGTGATGTCTATTTTAAGATGTGAAAGTATTTAACCCTATAATTTTTCTTTGCAGATGGCTAATCGAGATTTGTTAAGCAGCGTCAGTCGTGAGTTTTCCGGCTATATTGAAAGTGGTTTGAAGACCATCTGTAAGAGACTTTTTTGTGTTTTTATTTTGTTTTTAAATTATTGGGGGCTTTGAATAGTTGTTCTCATTGAGTGATTGTAATCAATAGAGTGTCTGGAATCTGCTTGGGCAGAAGCTGATTTAATCTTATGTTTTTATGTGTAATTTCCCTTGAATTCTTGGTAGTGTGATAAAATAGAGCTGTTTGGAAATTACTTAGCCTTCATCTGTAGGCCTTTTCTGAGGACTGTGCAGGAAGATTTATCAAGTGTGATGTCTCCTTAAGATGAATAGGAAAGCTCTAAGAACTCTGATATCACCACAGTACATGATTTCGAGCCCTCAAAATACCTTTCAACTACTCAGATAAGACCATTTTTCCTTTTGAAATTAGAGCATGCAGATGCCTAATGAAATGGAAATTTTGTTCCCATGTACACTAATGGACTCCAGAGAATACTAGTATGCTAACACATTGGCATTAGCAATTGGTACTGCAAATAATATTGTAGTAATTGTAATTAAAGTAATAATGCACTGCTAGTACTTTTCTACCTTCTGCAGGAAGATACTTTGTTAAATGAATTTCAAAGAGATGTCGGATTTTTTAACATTATTTGGAAATTTTACTCAAATTTGTGTTTTTCTTTTAAGTTAGAATATATCTCATATCTTTCAACCAAATGATATAGAATTCAACATTTTGTTATTGTTCCTTTTAGTAAAATACCATGGGGACATACTTGCTACAGAATTTCACACTGTAAAGGGAGAATATATAAAGAATCTAAGTCAGTACATCTATAGAGAAAAAACAGGATTTATTTTCTAGAATTGAAGGCTGCCTGTCTGATGCAGCTAGAAACAAAGATACTGAGAAAAATCAAGTGGTTCGGGAGACATCTCCAGCTCTTCTCAGATTTCCAAGATGATTCTGTAGAGAATAAAAGCAGGCTAGATGTCATTTAAAAAAAAGCTGGAGGAGTGGGCTGGTTTGTCATGTCCCAACTCTGGTCTGAAGCCTCTTTGACTTGCAGTGCAGTGTGCCCTGAACCGTCCTGCCTTCTTTGCTGAGCGGCTCTACTATTCCATGAAAGGTGCTGGCACAGATGATTCCACCCTGGTCAGAATTGTGGTTTCTCGAAGTGAGGTGAGCCCAGGCAGCACTTTCTCTTTTTGTCTAGTCTTTCTTGAATTTGAATGTTCATTTCTTAAAAGTATCTTAGTTGGTTGCAAAACCCTTGGGAATGATGTTAAGAAGGCCCTCTGTCACTATGAAAGAGAGGGGAATAAAGCACAGAATTTACTTTCCTCATGCTGTGAGAGAGGCCTGCAACCCTGAAACATACCTCTGTCCCTGGGTGAAGACAACACCAAGTGATTCTCTTACTTGAAGAAAAGGTCTATGAAAGGCCGGGCGTGGTGGCGCACGTCTGTAATCCTACCACTCGGGAGGCTGAGGCAAGAGGATCACTGTGAGTTCGAGACCAGCCTGGGCTACATAGTGAGTTCCAGGTCAGTCTCAACTACATAGTGAGTCCCTGCCAAGAGAGGTGGGGGGGTCTATGGAGAATACTAGTTTATGAAAACTTGGGAGGTTTTAAAAATGTTAGTCATTTGATATTTCTCCCTCCCTTCCCTATTTTGATTATTAATATCTTATTTTTAAAGAACTATAATAAATTTTATTTTGACACTTTCTTCAACCTGTCATTTCTTACACAGATCGACCTTGTACAAATAAAACAGTTATTTACTCATATGTATCAAAAGACGCTGGGCACAATGATTGCAAGTGACACAAGTGGAGATTATCGAAGACTTCTTCTTGCCATTGTGGGTCAGTAGGAGGGAAGTTTTTTAAATGGATGAAGTCTTTCAAAGCAGCATGACCTGCATGCAGCAATATCAGCCATCACCTAACCGGAACAACTTAAGGACGGTCAGGGTTAATGTGCTTGGTTTGCACATGTTGTTATTGCCTTAATTCTAATGTTATTTTTTCTTATACATACAATCAGTGTAAAGCCATATCACAATGATGTAGTAATTTTGCAATATTTGTAATGCTTCATTCTCACTGCTTTGGTTCTAATCAGGATTTCAAGTTGAATAAAAATTAGTGATCTAATTCTGTATAATTATGAGCAGTTACGTTAAAAGGTTAACCATCACCTCTGTGTAGTTTTAAAAATGAGGAAATAGTATTTTTGAAAAGTGATACTGGTCTGGCTGATTTAAGAACATGACTGCCAATTCAGAAATATGATGGAGTGCTGCCAGCCTAGTGGCTTTGGGACTCCCAGTGCTTTGGGAGATCAAGGCAGGAAGACCATTAAGTTTGGCCCCAGCCTGGGCAACCCAGTGACTTAATGAGATCCTATCTGAAAATAAAATACGAAAACCAGGCTAAAGCTGTGCAGGCTGACACATGTCTGTAAATCAGCACCCTAGGAGGCTGAGGCAGAAGGATCGCGAGTTTGAGCTTAGCCTGGGCAACTTAGTGGTTTAGCAACACCCGGTCTCAAAAAAATTTTTAAAGGGGCTAGGGATGGCAGAAGAGAGCTGCTCACCTCCATAGCAGCCAGGAGGTGGAGAGAAGAGGTACATGGGACAAGAAATGCGCTCTTCCATGTCATAGCTGCAGTGACACAGCTCTACTAACTGGGCCCTGCCTCTGAATCCATGAGGCTTTTGGGACATGGTTTAGATATCCACCATAATATTCTGCCTCTTGCTCCCAAAAGGCTCATGTCCATCTCTGAGTTCCCAAATTCTTCACAGTTCCAAAGTCTCATTTGATACTCAAAGCAAACTCAGCTGTGAGCCCTGTAAAAATAAAAAAGTTAAATACTTCTAACATGCAGGGTAAGCATTCTCATTCTAAAAGGGGAGAAGGGAAGATTGCAAAGGAATTGAATCAGTAAGCAAGCTGTGGTAAAATGTGAGCTTCAAAGGGTGTGGTCAGCCCCGTCCCTGTGGCCTCTGGCTGGCTCCACTGGCTGCTGTAGTTTTCCTCAGATGTTTTACATTCCTGACATTTCCAACTTCCTAAGGTCACCACTGTGCCTTCAGCTTCATGTATCACCCTCAGGGACTCCTAGCAGGGACTGCAACCCTGTCACACCTTTACGCCTGGTCTTCCAGGCCTTCTGAAATCTGGGTAGAAGGCTTAATTACCCCATAACTCTTGCATTCTGCATGTCTGAAAAATTAGAACCACTTGGATGACACCAAGGTGTTCTGCTGGCTATAGCAGTAGCCTCTGGGCCCTGTGGACCATACCTGCACTGGTCTCTCAGTTCCTGGATTGCTGAATTTGGGATATATGTCCTTAGGCATCCCTGAATGAGCAGGGCTCCCAGGGATTCTCAAGCAAAATCTTTAAAAGAGCCCATACTTTTACACCTTTGAGTGTGTCAGGACTAAGGTCTGGCCTTTTCCTGAGATGACCTGAAGGCATCTTTCCTACTGTGCTGATGCAAAGTACTTGTCTTTTTTATGCTAATTTTTTTCTGCATCCACACTCCTTGGCCCTAACTTTACAGGTGCTTCCTTTCTGGCCAACCTGCACATTTTCCAAATTACAGTGCTGCCTTGGTTCACAAACTTAATTTGTTCTATGATTTTGGGAAAAATGGTCATGTTTGTGTTTGTGTGGGAAGGATGACTGAGGTCACATTTGTCACCTGTTGCAGAATTTGCAAACAAAATTTTGCCAGACAGTTATGTTTGCAAATCAAATTGTTTGGAAACAAAATCATTTGTGAACTGAAATACCACTGTATTTATCTCTGCTTTTTTGCTCCTGATTCTAATTGTAGATCTGACTAAAAGAGTCAGCAGTACTCATGCCACAACCTGGATGTTGGGCTGCCTTGAAATTCCCTCCACCACTTTAGTCCAGTACCTTTAAAATCAGCCTCACACCCACCAAGGTTTAGGACATGAACAAAGTGTAGACAAATTCTTTGCTGGAATGAAACAGGCATGTACTCTAGTCCAGTGTCCAATAGAGTACAGTAATATGTAAGTTCATGAACAGAAGGTTCAGCAAAATTTTTTATTCACAAGCTGCTTTGGGGGACAAATATGACTACAGCCATCTTTCCCATTCTGACACAGTGGCTCCTTCTAGTCGAGATTATGGTTGCAGACAAGCCTGTGCACACTTCCTGTGATGCTTTTTAGTACATATAGTACTACACAGTATATTATTCAGTCCAGCATGGCTCCAAAGAAAATGCAAAGCAAGCAGGATGGTAAAAAAGAAAGTGCTGAGCAGTAGTGAAGGTGATAACATACAGAGCAGTAATGAAGTTAAGAAAATGCAGAGCAAGAACGGTAAAGTTTCAAAGAAAATAAACACTGTATTAAAGAAAATTATAGAAAAGCGTGAGTATGGTATGCATGTGACTGATCTGGCCTTAGAGTACAAGATGGTGAAGTCACAACAGCTGGGGATTTAGCTCAGTGTTTCTACCAAGCACAAGGTCCTGAGTTCAATCCCTAGTACAAAAACAAAAAAAGCCTTGCAACAATTTTGAAGAATAAATATGCCATCAAGGGAGCTGATGTGGCAAAAAGGATAATGATGTTAACCAAGTGCTGGAAGAAGTGGAAAAACTTTTGTTAGTGTGGTTGAATGAGAAATAGCTGGCAGGTGATAGCATTACTGAAGCTGTGATCTTTGAAAAAGGCAGGAAATTGCACAGTGACTTACTGCAAGAAAACCCCTCTGCAACTGCAACAAGTGATGAGTTCAAGCCAGTAGAGTGTGGTTGTTAAATTCCACAAGAGAAGTGGCATCTACAATATGGTAAGATACGGTGAGACTTCCAGTTCTGATAAGGCAGCTGGAGAAGTCTGTAAGAAAGAATTCAGTTGTTCGTACAGGCAGAAGGATACGTTGCTTAATAAGTGTTCAGCCATGGGCTGGGGATTTAGTTCAGTGGTTCCGGCACCTGCGTCACAAGCACAAGGACCCGAGTTCGATCCCTGGTACAAAAAAAAAGTGTCCAGTGATGATGTCATAGGGCTCTTCTGGAAGAAGATGCTGAACAGAACCTATGTCATGTAAGAGGAGAAGGCACTGCCAAGGCTCAGCCCATGAAGGAGAGATTGGCTCTTCTGCTGTGCCAGTGCTGATCTGAAGATTAAACTGCTACTGGTTTACCATTCCCAGACCCCTCATGCATTCAAAGAACTGAATGTGAACAAGGCCAGACTACCTGTCATGTAGAGAGCCAATGCAAAAGCTTGAGTCACAAGACAATGTTCATGGAATGGGTGCATCAGGTGTTTGCGTCCACTGTTAAGAAATATCTTTCTGACAGCCAGCTGCCTGAAAGGTGCCTTCTTGTGATGGATAATGCCCTGGTACACCCTCTAGCTTTGGTGGATAATATGTTTTTGGGGTTTTGTTTTGTTTTGTTGTTTTTTTTCAGTACTGGGGATTGAACTCAGGACCCTGGGCTTGTAAGGCAGGCACGATGCCACTGAGCTAATCCCCAGCCCGTGATGGTTGATATGGATGCTGAGTATGACTTCATAAAGATCAAGTTCCTCCCCACCGACACAATACCTTTTCCGCAGCCCATGGAGCAGCAAGTGATCTGCAACTCAAGAAGCTGTGCACAAAGGTGCTCTTCACCCAGTGTTTTAATATCACTGAAGAGACATCATTGACTAAAAGAGTTCTGGAAGAAGCATTTCAACATCCTCCACTGTATCAACTTCATTGACAAAGCCTGGGAAGATGTCACATACTAGACCTTAAACTCAGCCTGGAAGAAACTGTGGCCAGAATTTGTCACTGAACATGACTTTGAAGGGTAGTAGAGAAGATTGTATCCATGGGCAAGCGTATGGGTCTGGCCAGGCATGGTGGCGCATGCCTATAATCCCAGCACTCAGGAGGCTGAGACAGGAGGATTGCTGTGAGTTCGAGACCAGCCTGGGCTACATAGTGAGTTCCAGGTGAGTCTCAACTACATAGTGAGACCCTGTCTCAAAAAACAAAACAACAGGGGCCGGGGATTTAGCTCAGCAGTTCGGTGGCCTGCCTTGCAAGCGCAAGGACCCTAGTTCAACCCCCAGTACCAAAAAAAAGAAGGAGACAGGGAAAAAACAAAACAACAACAAAAATACATGTGCTTCAGAATGGATTAATATTTACATTGAACCTTATAGGAAAATTTGATTCAATTCCTGACCAAAATCAATTTTCGGGGCTGGATTTAGATTTAGCTCAGTGACTGCACCTGCCTCTCAAGCGCAAGGTCCTGAGTTCAATCCCCAATACAAAAAAAAAAAAAAAAACCCTCAAAATCAGTTTGCAGCCAAGTTTGTGGTGGTCAGAACAGATTAATATTATTTACATTGAACCTTATGGGCAAATTTGATTCAGTTCCCAACCAGTTTGGTTCACAATCAGAATCAGGATAAATTAAGTTTGTGAACAAAAATTATCAATGTACTTGCTCCTATCTAAAACTTCATGGGCCTGGACTTTACGATCTGCATTCTTAACAGCTGCAACTAGAAGTACCCATCATGCTCAGCTTATAGCATTATAGAGCTTCTGTAGCTGCCGTCTGCAAACCTTTCCACACATTCCTTCAAATCACCTCCAAAGGCTTCTAAACTATACGACCAGGTGAAGCAACAGCACCGACTCTAATTCCCTGGTACAAGTTTTCTGTATCAGTCATTTTCCCATCAGAGTCAAAATACTCCACACCTGCAACTTAAAGGAGAGGTTTAATTGGCTCGCTGTTTTCGTGGGATTCTGTGCATGGTTGGTTAGCTCAGAGGAAGAAACAACATGGTGGAAGGGCCTGGCAGAGGACAGCTGCTCACCCCATGGCAGCAAGGAAGCAGAGAGCAATGGAGGAGATAGGGACAGGAAATAAACTCTTTCACGTCTTGACCCCCGTGATCCACCTCTTCCCACCAGGCTCCACTCCACACACACAAGACTCTGAAGGATAGTTTCGCTGCACTAAAAATTGAGGGGAAGAAGAGTGAATATCAATTATAATTCAACAAGCATTTTTTTGAGACAAGGTCTCACTATGTTGCTTTATTACCTATAATACTCCAACCCCAAAAAACTAAAACAAAAGCTCACTAATTCTATAATTTTCATGTTTATTAGTGTAAATAAAAATGATTTTTAAATTTGGCTCTGGTAACTCCGAGCTTAAGCAAGAAGTTTCTTTCCCATGGAGAGTTGTGCGCATGTGTGCATTTTAGTGATTTATTTTCAAATAATTAAAATGCGTAGCACTGGAAAACAGTGTAAGGAACCCTGTCGTCCCCCTTTATTCAAATTTCCAAATAACTAACAGGTTATTGCATTTGTTCACTGTATATGGGTGTGCGTGTGACCTGCGATATTCAGTCTTTTTCTGGACCTTTTGAGGGTCAAGAAAGTAAACCACAGACATGATGTCTCATCACTCTTAGACACTGCTGTGTTTGATTTAAACAAGGGCACTTCTGTGTAACAGTAAACAACCTTCTGCTTGAGGTCAACATTGGTATCACACTGCCATCACATCCATGGCACCCATCCATATTTTGTCTGCTGTCTCCGCAAGTTCTTTTTCCTTTCTGATTTCAAGGGCTACACAGCAATGCACGCTATATTTGGTTGTCGCGAATCTTCAGACTCCTTTAATCTGGATCAGTTACCAGCCTGTCAGGTGTTTGACAGTTTTAAAGAGCACAGGCCTTGGGCTGAGGATGTAGCTCCGTGGTGGAGAGCTCGGGTAGCATGCAGAACCTCCCCTCCCCTCCCTGCACTGAGGTGGGGAGATCTTAGATTCTGGAAAATAGAACAAGATGCTTTGTCTCACTGCATCTCACCAAGAAGCCCACAATAGACTCCTCCCCACATGGATGATGTTAATCTTTATCACCCGATTGTGCTGATTTCTTCACTCTTTCCCCTCTGTACTTGGTAAGTATTCCTTGGGGGAGCATTACAGACTCTTGCCAATATTCTATACCTTATCAAACCTCCACTCACCAACTTTAGCATCCATTTAACTCTTGCTTGACTCCCCTATGGTATTATGGTCATGCCTGGCCTAAACAGGACAAAGCCAACAGGCTGCTTTCAGCAGACAACAGCAGCTTCTCAGTAAATAGGACAAATGGATTCAAAATGAAGTCTACAATCCTGCTGGTGCTGAGAAGTCCAGTGATTGTGCAGACCGTCCTTGGACTCAATCATAAACTTTTCACCCCAGATTCCTTAGCCCCTTCAATACCTATATAAGCCTAACTCCTCTCCCAGTTAGTTGCTAATATTTTTCTCCTAGTGTTTGCCCATCCACTCACGGATGAAATCTCTCCCAGATAACTGTTGCTATCGCTCTCTCTCCCAGTGTCAGCCCATCCACAGAGGGATGTGATAAACTTGCCTTTTCCCTGCTAGCTGCTAGAATTTCCTGATTTTAGTCCCTGGTCACTGGAATAAACTTTTCTTTTTCTCACAATAAAAAAGCCTACTTTTTTAACAAGTAGATTCATGTGTGCCATCCATAACAATTACCAAATAGTAATTCTCAGTCATTCCCTCTGCACTCCTGGGTTGGCATTCTGCTGAAAGAGCTTTTTTGTATTCAATCAATGTGACCTTGCATATTCTTACTTCATTCTGTGGGTTGTAGCACATTCTTATCATTGTTTTGCTGCTGAAATCATCTCTAATTTGGCCAGTGGAAATTGTCTTAAACTGGTTTTCACACTCCAACATTTAAAAATCATATATATATACACACACATATAATAAAATCACAAATATATGTATATATGTCATGTGCAATATATTATATACCATATAAAATATATAATTAATATGTAATTAATATATAAAATATTTAAAATCATGTGTGATTATATGTGTATGGAGAGAGAGAGAGAGCGCTAAGATTCCATCCCTGTTGTATGTGTCTGTTCATTAATTTTAAGTGAATATACTGCAGTTTACAGGCTCTTGGGTTGTTTCCAGGTCATTGTTATGTTTTGCTTTTCTAACACTTTAAAGATTGAATTTCAATTGTATTAAACATTTGCATTAGTATCTCGTAGCTCGTCTGTTTATTGTACAAATATTGAGCACCTAGAAGAGGCATCATTTTGCACTGTCCCCAACAATGCAAGGCTTACTTTTTTTTTTGGTACCGGGTATATACCGGAACTCTTTGGGCAGGCGGCAGAACCACTGAGCTAAATCCCCAGCCCGCAAGGCTTACTTTTAAAAGTCTTTTATCTGCCCTTTTTGTTTTTGCTTTTTGAGACAGGGCCTTGTTCTGAAGTTCAGATTGGCCTTGAACTCAGAGCGAGCTTCCTGTCTCAACTCTGAGCGCTGGAGTTGCAGATGTGCACTATGATACCCTGGTGATTTTTCAAAGGGAAAACCTACATGACCTGTAATAGCAGGTTTTTGGGAGGCTGAGGCAGCGCGATCTCAAATTCGAGCCCAAGTTGGGCAATTTAACGAGACCCTGTTCCCCCCGCCCAAAAAAGGCTGGGGATATAGAAAGATGATAATAATGAAATGATCAGTTTTTGTTGGTTTTTAAAGAAAGAAAGGCCTCGCTATATCATTGCCCTGGCAAACCTCAAACTCCTGACTTTCAGCAATCCTTCTGCCTTAACCTCCCAACGCACACCACTTAATCTCTTTTCCAATCAGTTTATTAAAGGCTTTTTACTTTAAATAAGTTCCTTTTGGTTCTTCATCTATTTATGGAGGTATAATAAAAGAGTCTAGAAAGCAAAATGGAAAAGTGAAACAACGTGCACTTAACCCAAATTTTTGCAACGCTTAAGTAACAAGAAGCAGGTAAAACGGCAAAGGGTAGGAAAGGTTGAGGCGCTAGCGCATACGTACATCCACTTTCCGCGCTGAAAATATCGCGAGTCTTGAAATAAATTGTGGCAAGTATAGAAAGTAAGTTCTCGCGAGAGTGGTTGCTACAGTTACGGAAACGCGTGCGGCTGCCACAGGTAAGATAGTTACTCAAAAACTCTCTTCTTTCCTAATGCGGCCACACTAAACCCTGTCACCCCAACTTTCTGCTTCCCCAGTTCAGGCCAAGTTGAAAAATCGGTGCAAGTCAATACTCTGATTCCAGTAGGCGCCCGCCCTTTCGCCCATCCAAGCCCCGATCGCCCGAACACCCACTTTCGAGCTTTGCCTGAAACCTCTCCAGTCACGTCGCCTCCTTCGTCTAACCTGTTTCTAATTGCACTCTTCCCTTGCTGCTGCTTCCGAGCAAATGACCAGACTTGCGTGCTGTCAGCTGCGGCAAGAGCCAGATCTACCTGATCTGACCAAAATTAGTCTCATTTCTTGCCTTTATTATTCAGATACTCCTCAAACGCGTCTGTAGGGCAAGGCCTGGGGCCAGGTATTCCTGGTCCTTAAATGCAAATAAAGACTTGTGCCTGTGATTTAGCTCAGTGGTTCCGGGGCGCGTCTCGCAAGTGCAAGGGCCCGAGTTCGATACCCGGTACAAAAAAAAAAGAAAAAAAAGAAACTCTGGGGTACATCAGTACATCGCCGTTTGCCCAGAGTCACAAAGTTATTAGTTAGAAAAGGTCTTTTAAATCTCCCATGCTGGGGCTGCACCTGGTAGGGCACTTGCCTGGCGTGTACTAGGCTCTGGATTGATCCCTAGCGCCGCGAAAAATAAAATAAACCCCCAGGCCTCATAAACACAACAGCTTGTGGTAATCTTCACAAGAGAAGTGTAAAATTCATAGGAAAGGCAAATGGGAAGACTCAAGGACTAGAAAGCATTTGAGCAAAATGAATAGGATTTGCCTAGTGGAGCTGCAGCGGAGAGAAAGAGAAGGGTAGTTACAGGAAGAACAAAAGAAGCAAAGTTATAAGCATGACTAAGTGTCTGCAGTCTGAAAAACACTAAGTCACAGCATAGGACTGGGTTGGTGAAACTAGAGGGTTTGGGTGTAATACCAAGTTTGACTTCATTTGGCAAGGAGGGAGAATAGGGCAGGTCCATGATGAAATCTGTGCTTTATCTGCTTATCTCATAAATCACATTTTCTCCATATTTCTTTTCACACTGTGATCCAAGCATACCAAGCCATGTGACCTACTTCTGGTGGGTTTTTTTGTTTTGTTTTGTTTTGTTTTTTTTTGACTTCTGAATCTCTTACAGTTTTTCTTTCTGCCTGGTACAGCTTTCATTTTAGTCTTTATTTTTTGAGCTCCAGGTCACCTCCTACAAGAACGTTTCCCGACATGCACACCCGCATACCTATTGGCAAATCCAGTCGGTCTCAGCTTTAGCACTTCCTTACTATATGACCAATAGTAGGATAAAAACCTTGTGGCAACCTCGTAATCCTAGTGCTGAGGGAGGCTGAAGCAGGAGGACTGCAAGTTCAAGTCCCATTGGGACAACTTAGTGAGACCCTGGCTCAAAATTTAAAAATTTGAAAGGGTTGGAGATGCAGCTCAGTGCCAAGGCTCTGGGTTCAGTCCCAAATACTGCAAAAAGAGAACAATCTTGTCTGAAGGTCAGTTTCCTTTTCCCTAAAATTGAGGCTCAAGAGTTGCTTGGAAGAGTGGACACATACAAGATAACATATATAAGCCCTTGGTACACTGGTGTGATAGTAAACCATTGTCCAAAGTCAATTCCTGGGGCTGAGAATGTTGCTCAGTAGAACACTTGCCTAGCAGACTCAGGGTTCTGAGTGCAAACCTAACACTGAAAAAAAAAAAAATGGAAAAAATTCCCTATCCATTCTTCCCACCGATTTGGTTCCCACTTTCTTGTTCCTCATCTTTCTTTCTTTTCTTTTTCTTATTTTTTTGGAACCGGGGATCAAACTCAGGACCTCGCTCTTGCAAGGCAGGTGGTGAAACCACTGAGCTAAGTCCCCAGCCCATTCATCTTTCAAAGTATCCATCACACAGATTATAACTCTGTATAAATAAATATAAATGTGGATATATATATATACATATATACATATATGTGTATATATACACATATATACATTATGACTTATATGTCTTTTCCCCTCATTAGATTTTTAATTCCTTGAGGTTTAGGAACTTATGTTTTACCTTTCATATCCTCAGCACCTATCACTATGCTTCGCTTAATAAAAACTTAATAGAACATTAATGATTTTAATGAAAGTGGGATGAGTGGAATCAGGAGACCAGTTCAGAGGCGTTTGTTACAGTCTAGCAGAAGGGCAATGGAGGCCCAGTTCATGTGGTACTACAGTATTTGGTGGCAAGGAGGGGAATGGTACAAAAGGTTTTTCAAGTGTACACTTACTGAAGAAATTCTCAGTGCCACTTGGGCTGCAAAGAGCCTGAAGACATGGTGTTGAACAAATGATGTGAGCTGTAGGAAGAGACAGGTATGCATTATTAAATATGAAGGCGTAGGGGCTGTATTCTTTTTTTAGGAGGGGGTATCGGGAATCAAACTCGGGTCCCTGCACTTGCAAAGCAAGCACTGGAACCACGGAGCTGAATCCCCGACCCTGTATTCTTTTTTGTATCACTAGTCCTAGATAGATTTAGCTCAATATGTCTTCAGTTTGAATTGTGTAGATAAGTTCTACTTTATATTGAGTTAGAAAACATGATGTTTTGTAAAAAAAAAAAATTATTTTTGACTTGAGTCTTTTTTTTTTTTTTTTTTTTTGCAGTACCAGAGATTGAACTTAGGACCTGGCACTTTCACAGTGCCACTGAGCTAGAGCTACATCCCCAGCCCCTGAACTTGAGTCTTAGTATTGAAAAATAATTAGAAAGGGCCGGGGATGTAGCTCAGTAGTTCTGCCACCTGCCTCGCAAGCACAAGGACCCAAGTTCAAAAAGGGCCAAGGATTTAGCTCAGTGGTTCCACTGCCTGCCATGCAAGCGGAAGGACCCAAGTTCAATTCCTGGTACCAAAAAAAAAAAAAAAAAGAATGAAAGCAAAAATGAAAAATAATTACAAAATACATCTGACAAGAGACATGCTGAGACCTTTTCCAACCAACTGTCATGTTATGTATCTCTTTCTTTGCTCTCAATATTTTTGTCAAACTGATAAAATTATTTTGTTTTGTTTTTGAGATGAGGCTTTTTTGTGTGTGTTGCCAAGACTGTCTTCAGATTTGCAGTCCTCCTGCCTCAGTATCCTAAGTAGCTAGCTGTGCCACTGCCTGGCTCTCGGATTTGCAAACTGAAAAAGAGTGACCAGAAAGCATTGTGAAGGATGTGGGAGGTAGGAGGTGGTGAGACGGTGCTCCTCCTGCTGTCTCTCCTGTGATAATTTGCACTCCATAGATTAGTTACATTTAACAGATAAAAGAATCTTTTTAGCACCAACCAATGGAGTCATACTTGTGACCAGTTCCCTAAAGCACTGCCTGTCCAGCAACAGGGTACAAAATAATACTGGATGACAGCATGTCCTTAGTCCTACGGTTGGTTCTGCTGCAATATGGGTACTTATGCAGCTATGCTACATGAGGGGACATGTTCATCTACTCTCTTTACAGAAACCAAAGAAGACCAGAGGCACTCTGCCCAACAGCTGCGATGGAACAGGTGCCATCCGTAGGCAGAGTGGTGCAGATCACTGTGACAGATGGATATGATTTGGTAAAATTATTTCTGGAAATCCACAGTGTCCCTGGTTCAAAAGCATCAGGGGAGGAATGGAGTTTTGCATTATTTCCAACCTCTAAACCTTCTGATTTAGCCATTTCCTTCTCCGTATACCTACTGTCGGACTGTGGCCAACAAGTCACATTACTGTCTGACTAAAATACCTGGCAATTTGAATACTACATTTAACAGGGGTGAAACAAGAAGTAGTTTTAGTTTTCTTAGAGAGAAGTTCATAATTTCTTTTTTCTCCTTTTTGCCTGAGAAGGATTTAAGTTCTCCCAGAGTTTATCTTGTGATTCATTTAGGAGAATAATGAAATGGCAAAGTATGCAGTATTTTTTAGTTTTAAAATGTTTGTTCCAAAAAGAAGATGTAGCTGAGCATGGTGGTGCACACCTGTGATCCCAGCACTTGGGAGGCTGAGGCAGGAGGATTACCACAAGTTTGAGGCCAGCCTGGGCTACACAGTGAGCTCAAGGCCAGCCTGAATTACATGGTGAGACCCTGTCTCAAAAACAAACAAAATAACAAGATGCTATAATTAATGAGCTCTACTTTTTTTTAAATGTACAAATAAAATATTATATATATATATATATGTATATATTCACAGCTAAACATTAAAATGTATATTTAAAAATACTAGATTTTTGGGTAGTGGGTACTGGTGATCAAACTCAGGACCTTGCACATGTGAGACAGGCATGGTACCACCGAGATAAATCCCTAGCCCTAGAATGTATATTTAAAAGTATTAATAGTACTTTCACATTAGAGTAAGATTACAGGTAATTTAATTTTCTTTGTGATTTTCTCACTTTTCCAAATACTCCACGATATACTTTTATAATCAGATAAAATACAATAAATGCTGTGCTGTTTTTTACAACTCTAACATAATGCCATTTAAATGGAATATTGCATTTAGTTGCAACTAGATTTGTTTAACAATTTTCCACTTTCTCCATATGTATTTGTGAATAGCTTATTAAGGAAAAACAGAAAATGCAACTTACTCCTGGTCAAAATATGTTGCCAGATGAGTACAAAAATTCTCTACAGTATAATTGTAAAGTGATATGTCTCCGCCAACAGAAAGGCTCGAAAGGAGATACTCCAGTTACTATTATTCGTACAGAATTCAACCAGGTGGTTCTAGGAGACTCTGCAAAAACTACTGTTTCTCCCGATGGAACTGCAAAGTACAACTTCACTAGCAGTTTTGAGTTCAGTCCTGAAGGAGGAATCACTTTAGATGACATCGCCCACAAACCTGTATTCTGTAAGTCCTTGTGGTTGTAAAAATGCTAGTATGTGAGTATGTTATGAGGATATGAGGTATTAGCTATTTTGGGGATTTTTTTTTTTTTTTTTTTTTTGGTACCAGGGATCAAACTCCGGTCCTTGCACTTGTGAGGCAGGCAGCAGAACCACTGAGCGAAATCCCTGGCCCTGGACTTGAACCCTTGATGCTCCTGCCTTAGCTTCCCAAGTGCTGTGAGTACAGGTATGCACAGCCATGCCTTGCTGTTGTTGGGACTGTTGAATGCACTTTACTTCCCTACTGAGGAATAATGCAGTATATTAAGTCCTACTTGCTTCTGGCAGGAGTCACTATGACCCAATTTTAACTAATTTTTATCCAACACTTTCTGATACGTGACTGAGTTTTACAGCTTTTATCTTATAAGTTGAGTTGGGAGCGTCTCCTTTATATTCCTATATGTAGGGTTGCCAAATTTCGAAGAGAAAAAAAAAAAGGAAAAAACAAAATTTGGGACATACTTATCACATGTTTTGTAATATACATGAGTAATCTAATGTATAACTAATGAGCAAAATAAAAGATAGATAATAGGAAGTAGAGAGATAGATCATTCTCAGATGGGAAGGGGATCAAGAGTTGGAGGGAGGGGAAGGGGAGAGGAAAGGGATGAAAAAAAGGAATTAAGATGTGTTACGTACTTGTACCAACTCCACACAAGGAAGGCAAACATCATGTACTGTACATGTACTAATGGAAAAGAAAGAAGAAATACCAAAGTACTGAAATGGACCAGTTCCTCAAGAAAACACAAACCACACACGTGCAAGATGAACTAGATAGACAGGCATGGTGGCCCATGCTTGTAATCCCAGCACTCAGGAGGTTGAGGCAGGAGAATCCCCACAAGTTTTCATATTAAATAGCCCTATATCTATCAAGGAGATTAAATTTTGTTTGTGTGTGGGTTTTTTTGTTTGTTTGTTTTTGGGAGAGTCTTGCTATGTAGCCTAGATTGACTTGGAACTCACTAAGTAGCCCAGGCTGACCTTGAACCTCCTATCTCTGCCTCCCAAGTACTAGAATTATAGGCATGTGCCACTATGGCTGGCTTAAAATTGAATTTATAAGTTAAAATCCCTCAATCCAGTCCTAAATAGTTTCTCTGAGGAATTCTACCAATTTTTTTTGTTTGTTTGTTTGCTTATTTGTTTGTACTGGGGATAGAACTCAGGTCCTTGTGCTTGCAAGGTAGGTGGTAGAACCACTGAGCTAAATCCCCAGTCCTACCAATTGTTTAATGAACTAACACTAATTTTACATAATCTCATCTAGAAAATAGAAAACATTTCAGTTTACTTATGGAAGCTAATATTATTCTGATGCCAAAACTAGACAAAGATTATACAAAAAGGGAAAACTTCAGGCCCTTGTCTGTCATTACTGACATAAAAGTTAGACAAGGCAGGGCTGGGGTTTAGCTCAGTGGTGCTGCCACCTGCCTCACAAGTGCAAGGACCTGAGTTCAATCCCTAGTACCAAATACAAAACAAAACAAAAGTTAGACAAAGCAATTAGAAAGAAAATATAAGGCACACAGATCCGAAAGGAAGAAATAAAACTGCTGGTATTTGCAGATATGGTATGATGATCCATGTAGAAAACATCAAGGAATCTAGAGCACTTGTAAAAATAAAAAGTAAGTTACACAAGATCACAGGAAAAAAGATAATATACCAAAATTAATGTACAAATATTCCTTGTTTAACAACTGAGTTGTGGTCCTGCAACTAAGTTGTTAATTGAATTCATTGCTAAATGAGGAATTTTATATAGTATATACAATATTAAGAATAAAGAAATGGTCAAAAATGACTCTAACTTTATAAGTTTGCTTTTGTTTGCATAATTCTTTTTTAAAAAATTATTATTTTTTGTTTGGTTTTCCCCATTAAGTTTATTGGTACATTTAAAGCAAACAGTACAGCTACATTTATCATTGGGATCTTGTACCTTTACATGATATGTCTCCGTTCTTATTTTCCCCCATACCCCTGCCCTCCCTTTACCCCCTTCACCCTTCCCCATTTACAGAGACTTTGCTTCCATTTTTTTCCTATTTTCACATTTTTTCTTTTCCCTTATTTCCCTTCCCCTCCCCTTCCCACTTCCCCTTTAGCCATTTTCTTCCTATTTCACACTCTCAATTATACCATTTGAACTTTATTTACACTTGTAGTTTTTCACACCAGAGAAAATATTTGGTATTTACTCATGTGTCCTATTCATTTCACTTAAGAGTATACCTTAATGGACATCCATTTAGCTATAAATGTTTCTAGTTTCTCATTCTTTGTGGCTGAGTAGTACTCCATTTTATAGAAAAACTACATCTTCTTTATCCAGTCTCCAGTTGATGGGCAGTTGGGTTGTTTCCAAGTTTTAGCTATTACAGACTGTGCTGCTATAAACATGGGTGAGCATATATTGCTGTGGTATAATTCTTTTAATTCTTTTGGAAAGATACCCAACAGAGGGATGGCTGGGTCAAATGGGACCTCTAATCCTAGTTCTTTGAGGTATCTCCATATTGATTTCCACAGTGGTTGGCTGGGGATTTAGCTCAGTGGTTCTGCTATCTGCCTTGAAAGTGAAAGGACCTGAGTTCAATCCCTGGTACCCTCCCCAAATCTATATCCTGATTTCCACAGTGCTTGCACCAGTCTGCATTCCCACTAACAGTGGAGAAGGCATAATTCTTTTTTTTTTTTTGAGACAGTGTCTTGCTACACAGTCCAGGCTGGCCTTGAACTCACTATGTAGTCCAAACTAGCCTCAAACTTGCAGTGAGGTGCTAGAGTTATAGGCACAAGCTACCTTCCCTGGCTCTATTTGCATAACTCCTACATGTAGTACTATAATATATAGCAGAACATAAAACTACAGTACTATACTGTACAGTACAATGAACAAAAATTATAGTACTATATAAATAAGATATACTTTTTTTGTTTGTTTGTTTTTTGGACAGGGTCTCACTATGTAGTTGAGACTGACCTGGAACTCACTATGTAGCCCAGGCTGGTCTTGAACACATAGCAATCCTCCTGCCTCAGCCTCCCGAGTGCTAGGATTATAGGCATGTGCCACCACGCCCAGCTAAACAAGATATTCTTTACAAAAAAGATATAGAGACTCTATAAATAAGATGTACAGAATTGTACAGAAAAAAAGATGTCATAAATCTGAGTGAAGGTGGTAAGTCCAAACTGTGTGACTCATTTATAAATCTGAACAGTAGTTAAACAAATAGTTGTTAAATGAGTAAATATCTGTATACCAGTTATAAATACATCGACATAAATATTGGGTTTTATTTTTTGGTACTGGGGATCGAACTCAGATCCTTGCATTTGCGAGGCAGGTGCCGGAACCACTGAGCTAAATCCCCGGCCCATGCATTGACATAAATATTAAAAATACCTTTTAGGGCCAGGGATTTAGCTCAGAGGTTCTACCGCCTGCCTTGCAAGCACAAGGACCCGAGTTTGATCCCCAGTACCCTCTGCAAAAATACCTTTTATAATTGCTTCCAAATTGAAATAGTGTTAACCTAATATATAGGAGATCCGTAGAAATGGAGAGATATACCATGTCCATGAATTGGGAAGTTAAAATGTCAGTTTTCCCCAGATTAATATACACATTGAATATAATTCTTCTCAAAATCCCAGCAATATTTTTGTAGCTATACATAAAATTATTCTTAAGTTTGTATGGAAAAGCAGAAGAACTACAAAAGGTAAAACAATTTTGATAAAACAGAGTTGAAAAGATCAGTACCTTGATTTCAAGACTTACTATGTAGCATCCAAATCAAAACTGTGTATTATTGGTGGAAAAATAGATATATAGATCAATGGAATAGAATGTCCATCTTTTTTTTCTTTTTACAATGTAAACCCAATTCATTGGAGGAAATGTAGCCTTTCTGGAAATGATGCTAGAGCAACTGGACCTCTACAGATAAAGAAATGAGCCATAACTTCTTTCACAGCTTACACAAAATTAGCTTAAAATAGATCACAGAGTTTAATGTAAACTATAAGGCTCCACAATGTTAAGAAAAAAAAAATCATACGTGGGTTGGGGATTTAGCTCGGTGGTGCTGCCGCCTGCCTTGCAAGTGTAAGCTCCTGAGTTCAATCCTTGGTACTGGAAAAAAAAAAAAAATCATAGGAGAAAATCTTCGGGACCTAAAATAAGACAAAGAGCTTTTTTTTTCTCTTTCTTTCTTTCTTTTTTTTTTGCACTGGGGATCGAACTCAGGACCTTGTACTTGTGAGGAAGACAAAGAGCTTTTAGACTGAAGACCAAAAACGTGATCAATAAACAAACTTGAGGCCATAGTGGCATGGTTTCTCTTATCTAAAAACCTCAATATATAATTAAAGTGCAGAGCTGGGGATTTAGCTCAGTGGTTCCACCACCTGCCTCGTAAGTGCAAGGTCCCAAGTTCGATCCCCAGTACCCCTCCAAATAAATAAAGTGCAAAATAAAAGATAAAGGATAGGAGATAACAAGATGGATTTTTGGTATTTGGGAAGGGACCGAGACTGAGGGAGGAGGAGAAAGGAGAGGACAATGAGATTTAAAGGGGAGGAGATTGTGAGTCTCTAGTTAGGGGTCCAAGAGATGCTGTGAGGGGTGGGGGTGGGGAGAGGTTAAAAAATGAACTAAGTAATGTCATTTACATGTACCGACTCCCCACGAGGAATTCAATCATTATGTACTACAAATATGTACCAATAATTTTTTTTAAATAATAGAAAAAATAATGAATTGGACTTCATTATAATTTAAAAAACTCTCTGTGACAGACTACAGAAGGACAGAAAGTATTTGCAAAACACACTTTGAAACGACACTGATATCCAGAATATATAAAGAACTTGCAAAACTCAGCAGAAAAAAAAAAACCACCAGAAACCAAACAATCCAGTTAGAAAATAGGCAAAAAAACATTTCACCACAGAGGATGTACAGCTGAGTGTGGAGGTACATGCACGTAACCCATCACTTGGGGTGCTGGGGTGAGACCCAGACCACATAACTTTAGACCTCTGTGTATATTTTAAAATGAAGGTGTGTGAAAAGTGGTCCCAAAAGTTTTTAGTTATTTGGATCCTGATTCAAACAACTATAAAGAAAATACTGTTGAGGGACATAAAAGCTGAACAAAACAGAAAAGAAAACCATGTTCTTAGGAATGATCAATATTATAAAGATGTCATTTCTCCTACGTTTATCTGTAAATTTAATATTATCTCTAATTCTGCCATTATTCTTTAAATTCTAGAACTCTTTTAGAAAAAAGATTTTGAAAAGATGATCAGGAAATTCTGAAAAGAAGGATAATAAGAGTTATTAGTGGAATATAATAGTAAAACATAGTACAAAACCCTCAATAAAACAGAGTGATAATGAGACTTGCACAGTCATGCAGATAACGGGGACAGACTAAAAGGTCCAGATACAATCATCAGTGCTTCTGGTAAATTAGCATCAGACTCAGGTGCTATGCAAATCAGTAGGTGAAAAGATAGATTATATAATAAAGGATGTGAAGACACCTGGGTATCTGTGTGTGTGGGGGGGGAGGAGTGACCAAGCTCAAAATTATACTTAAATTCTAGACCGATAAAATATGTATAAAAACTTAAACTATGTAAATATCATAAGAAATTACAGAATTAACTAATCATAGTCTGGCAAAGCCTTTCACAAGCATAGAATCAACATGGGGCTGGGCATTTAGCTCAGTGGTTCTGCTTCCTGCCTCGAAAGTGCAAGGACCTGAGTTCTAATCCCCAATACAAAAAAAAAAAAAAAGTGAATCAACATGGGAGCTAGGAGTATATTTTACATAAGCAGCTATAAAAGACAAACCACAAAGTGGGATACAATTTACAATTCATTTCTAGACAAAAGGCAAATGTCCCTTCATATAATTTGCAGGCAAAAGTTAAAAGGTCTCCAGGGCCGTTTAGTACTTTGTGCTGAAGTCACTGATGTTGGGGTCTTGGGTTTCATGTTGTTTCTTCCAAGTGTTGGAGGTCAAACCCAGGGCCTCACAGAAGCTATGCACGTAGCTGCACCCGCCGCCCGAGTTAATTTTTCTTCCATTTCTTTGAGAGTGCTTTGCTTGCTGCACCTTGATTATGTGAGAGATGAGTTAGAAATGTTCTCATTCTGTTTGTTTTGATTTTTCTAGTAACCATGACTGAAGTTTTACCAAAGGAAAAGAAACAAAAAGATGAGAAGACCTTAGTTCTTGGTCAATCCGTGGTGGACCTTCTTCCTTTACTGGAAGGTCAGATGCTTGGTTTGCCTAAAAGGAGAAATAGCCAAGTTCACAAAACTTTGCTCCACAGACTCACAAACCTCAGCCTCATTGCATTTAGAAGTTTTGAGGAAAATGAGCCCACTCATCTCTGTTGGTAGTATACTAACACAACCAACCCTTCTTTTTGCCTCTGTTCCCAGGAGAGACTTCATTTGAAGTGATGGTCCCTTTACACCTGGTGCAGGGCTCACCCTTGGAAACTCCTCGACCAGGCTTTAAGGTAATCAGAGTTGTAGCTCAGTATTTCAGCCTGCCCCTCCGTGTAACGAGTCCATCTGCAATTAAGGTTCCTTTCAGTTGAGTCCAGTTCATGGGCCTTGCACACGCTGGGCTAGTGCCCTACCGCTGATCTCTGTCCGTTCTTCTCTTAGTCATTTTGTGCTCTTTTCACAGCACATCCAGTGAGAGGTCTGGGAAACAGATGAGTAAGGCAGAGTCCTAACTTCCAAGAGCCCAAAATCACAGGCTGATTATTTATTTTTTTGGTACTGGGAATCACACTCAGGGCCTTGCGTTCTGCCAAGTAGGCGCTGTGCCGATGTGCTACATCCTCAGCCCTTATTTTTAGAAAGATTATTTTATTTTATTGTGCTGAAGATTGAACCCAGGGTCTTGCCCATGCTAGGCTAGTGTCCTACCACTGAAATCCATCCCTATGGTAGTTACTTTGGCTGCTGGCATCACCTGTAAATCCTAAGTGACATCCATGGCTTCTCCCTCAGATCCCAACTGCAACCAATCTCCAAATCCAGACTTTTCCGTCTCCTGAGTGGCTTCAGAGGCTTTCTTTTTAGCTTTGTTCCTACTCTTACTGCCTCACCCTTTCTCACCTTGCTCATGACAAGTGATCTTGGACCTGCCCTTGCCTCCCTCCAGATCCACCTTCCCAGTGCTTGTACAGTTTCAAAGTGACTCCGATCACCTCTCTGCCTGTCAGTATGATGTGGTGGCTTATGGATTTACCCCTTTGTATATCATAAGGTCCAGATCCCTTAACAGGCAGGCATAGTCCATCGGAGCCTCTCCCTTCACCTCCTCTCTCTGCTCCTGTTTGTATTTTATGCTCTAGAATCCTGACCCACTTAGCCCTGAGCTGAATAAATATATCATACTGTTTTCCTCCCCTTTTACACCAACTTCTCTCTTTTTTTTTGTACGGAGAATCAAACTCAGGGTCTTGCACTTGCAAGGCAGGCGCGGTGCCACTGAGCTAAACCCTGGCAACAACTTTTCTCTTGATCCAGAACTGTTTTCTCTTTCCTTCCTCTGCTTCTAGGTTGCAAATTCCCACTCATTCCATAAAATGCATTTCAGATTTTATGATTTACTTCTCCCCTGCCTAAAAATTATTTACTTCCTCCTTGGTGCTTCTCAACTGGAACATTTTGTGCAGTTCTGTGTTGTAGCATTTGTCATAAAACATGGGACATTAACATAAATTTCATAATGAATGGAACCATGTCTTCTTCATCTTTATATCCCTAGTGCTATTGTAAAAGTGCCTAGCATCAGATTAGCAATCAGAACACATTTTAGCCAGGTGTGATGGTACACGCCCATAATCTCAGCATTCGGGAGGCAGAAGGATCACTGTGAGTCTGAGGCCCGCCCAGCTACACAGCGGAGTTCAAAACTGGCCCGCACTATAAAGCAAGACCCTGTCTCAAAACAGACAAACCATTTTATTTTGTATTCTGTGTGAAAATAGCAGAGATACAGACATGTTTATATATGGATTTGTATATATATTTGAAAAAATATTTTATTATAAAACATTATCAGTAAATTATAAGAGTAATCATAAATATAGGCAAAAGCACCCCAGTTCATTCATGTGCAGCTACGGTTGGTATCGAAGTATGGAATCATCCAGTCTTATAATTCCTCTTCCAAGTGTTTGGCGCAGTAGGAAGGGCCTTTGGGCAGGGATAAGGTTCTCTTTTTGACTCTTTCCTTAATTTACAGGAACTGGAGAAAATTATTTTGTTCTTCTGTTTGGAAATCAGTTTGATCTTATTTTGAATGATGATATTTTGAGATAATGCAAACAAAAAGAGAGGCAGTTTTCAAAATGCTACATAATTTTCACCTTTTACAGCAGTGCAGTCTTCAAGTTAAAGTGTTTGTGGCAGAGCCCTTACTGAGCACAGCCCAGGCCACGGGGAGCAATCTACTGAAGGTCACCTTGGAGGCTGCTTACTCTGTGCCTGAGTCCTTCAATCCACTAGGGCCTCCGCAGAACTACATGGTGGGTCTGCAAGTTCCCGCGCTCGGAGAGGTAAAACGCCACTGCCAACGTTTACGTGGATTCAAGGGTGTCTGCACTCTGCGCATCTCTTCCTCACTGGCTAAGATTACATTCGACACATCATTCTGCTAGCGACTGAGATCTATTTGAGGCTTAAAAAATAAAGTTTATGTTATATATCCAGTACATATTTTAGTATTTATAATTTACATACTAGCCATAGATTGTGCTGATTAGTGGCTGATGATATTTGAGCATCTTTTCATGGGCTTATTGGCCATTTTGTATATTTTCTTTGGAGAAATGTCTGTTAAGTCTTTTACCCATTTTAAAATTGGACTGCTTGTATTTTTATTGTAGTTTTAGTTCTCCATATAGTCTCTCTTTTTTTTGGTACCGGGGATTGAACTCGGGTCCTTGCACTTGCAAGGCAGGCCACCGAACCGCTGAGCTAAATCCCCGGCCTATCTGCATATATTCTTGTTATTAATCCCTTATCAGATATACGAGTTGCGTGTAATCTCTCCCATTCTGAGTTGCCTTTTTACTCTGTTAGTGTCCTTTGATACACAAAAGTTGAAATTCTCACGAAGTCAAATTTGTCTTTTTAGCTTTTATTGCCTGTGCTTTTGATATTGCATCCTAGAAATCATTGTCAGATCCGGTGTGATGAATTCTCCTCTGTGTGCTTTCTTCTGAGGCTTCTTTAGGTTCAGCTCTTTTTTTTTTTTTTTTTAAGTGGGAATTGACCCTGGGGCCTTTTTTTTGAGCTACATCTTCAACCCCCCCCCCCCCTTTTTTTTTTTTTTTTTTTTGAGACAGGGTTTCACTATGTAGTTCAGCTGGCCTTGAATTCACAGTTATCCTCCTGCCTCAGCCTCCCAAGTGCTGAGATTTTAGGTGTGTGCCACCATGTGTGGCTAGTTTGCTTTTTAGAGCACAGTTTTAAAACAAGTATGATAACGGCTCTTATACAAACACAAAATGATAGAATTTGAAAAATTTTATTTAATTGCTGAGAAAAACAGTAAAAACAGTCAAAGGAGAATCTGAAGAAGTAACCCATAAATAGGCATCAGGAATACTGTAGTAAACTTGCTATAACCAATTACATTGTCACTGGACAGAATATGTTTGCATAACTATGGACAAGAAATAATTTGTGTTATCAGTTACTGTAAACTACAGTGTTGTAAATGAACAAAGCCAACGAAGGGTACCGACTGCTGCCTGGAGTCATAGTCATGGAAAGGTGTCTTTGATAACACCCAGCAGTCCAGTGCAAAGACACTTAAATTGTCTTTTTTGTCCAATTCAGTGTCCTTTACAATTTTTTCTCCTGTGTGGTATTTTTCTTTGTAGAAGGACTCTCCTATTTTATTCAAAAATGGGACCCTGAAGCTTGGAGGGGAAAGAGAACCTGTTCCCCGGCCCAAAAAATGGCCTATTGCTAACATTCTTGCTCCAGGGGCCAATAACATTCCAGATGCCTTCATTGTGGGCGGCCCCTATGAGGAGGAGGAGGGAGAGCTCAATCACCCTGAGGTGAGGTAATATTGGAAGTGTGTGTACTTTGGGAATCACTGTAGCTTATGTATGCCTGTCACTTGTCAAAAAAATTATCTAATTCTGATGAAACTGTGTCTCAAGTTCACCAAATGAAATAATTTGCGTCACATTTACTTTTTACCTTATTTTTTGAATTAGTAATAAAGTCTTGCTTTCTGGTCAGGCTGGCCTTGAACTTACCATGTAGCCAAGACTAGCCTTGAACTCACTGTGATCCTCCTGCCTCAGCCTCCTGAGTGGTGGGATTACAGGTATGCACAACCTGCCCAGCTCTCACTTTTTTTTTTTTTTTTTTTT